TAAATAAATAAATAAATAAATAAATCTGCAATGTGCTTTACATTGGGCTACCTCTGTACCAAGTTCGGAAACTCTAATTACTATATTTACTTGAGTCTGATGCTCAGCTTTTTTGGATAAATTAACTTGCCAAAATTTGGCTGCACATTAGATTAGTGTAATACAGTACTCTTAGTGCTGAGCCAAAGCAAAAGAGAAAGATGCTTCAGGAGCTGCAGCTGTGGCACCTATTTGAGGAACCTCATCTCTAATTTAATTGTCATGGCTCCAAGCTGTACAATGCTGGGATTTGTAGTTTGGTGAGATATCCACGTTCTTTGCAAGAGAAGGCTCAAGGCCTTGTAAAACTACAGTATCCAGGATTCCATAGCACTGAACCAAGGCAATTAAAGTGGCGAACACCAAGCTTTTCCTTTCAATCGCTGGACGCTTTGGTGCTCTAACACACTTGTTTTTAAAGAAGGAATTCTAACCAGACAGCAACTGTAATTGTGAAATTACACATAGGACTCCATCTCTGCAACATGTAGAAACAGGAGGATTTTAAAGGCAGGCTGGAATTGACTCCACTCATCACTTTGTACTTAGAAATGGGTATTTTTCCATGGGATGGGAAACTGTTCATTTGCCCATTTTCAGTCCATATTCTGACATTTCAGTGTGGGTGTATATGTGGGTAGTCTTTTCAAGCCCCTTGATGTTTCTTCTGCCACCATTGCTCTTTGGACTTCTATCCTCCATTTTTGTTGTTGCTGCTGCTGCTATAACTATGCAATTTTGAACCTTTGAAATTCTGCAATTGAACAATTTGATTTTTAAAAAATCCTCTGATGTGGGCACTCTACAGATGACAGAATGGGAGGAGACAACACCTGATGTGAAATGAAGTGCCTGATTTAACTAGAAATGGGAAGACGCAATCCTGTGTGATGGGGGTGAGTAATTTTTGCCACAGGAAGGAGACGATTCTTCCCACTTTCCCTCCCTTGTGGGATGAAGTCCTAGGAGTTCATCCGGAGTTTCGGGGTGCGGTGTTATCTGTACGCAGATGACGTCCAACTCTGTCACTCCTTCCCACCTACTACTAAGGAGGCTGTTCAGGTCCTGAACCGTTGCTTGGCCGCTGTATCGGACTGGATGAGGGCGAACAAATTGAAATTGAATCCAGATAAGACAGAGGCACTCCTGGTCAGTCGAAAGGCCGAACAGGGTATAGGGTTACAGCCTGTGTTGGACGGGGTTACACTCCCCCTGAAGACACAGGTTCGCAGCTTGGGAGTGATCCTGGACTCATCGCTGAGCCTGGAACCCCAGGTCTCAGCAGTGGCCGGGAGAGCTTTTGCACAATTAAAACTTGTGCGCCAGCTGCGCCCGTACCTTGGGAAGTCTGACTTGGCCACGGTAGTCCACGCTCTGGTTACATCCCGGATTGATTACTGCAACGCGCTCTACGTGGGGTTGCCCTTGAAGACTGCCCGGAAGCTTCAGATGGTCCAGCGCTCGGCAGCCAGGTTGCTAACAGGAGCGGCACTCAGGGAGCAAACCACTCCTCTGCTGAGCCAGCTCCACTGGCTGTCAATTCGCTACCGGGCACAATTCAAGGTGCTGGCTTTGGCCTATAAAGCCCTAAACGGTTCTGGCCCCGCTTACCTCTCCGAACGCCTCCACCTATGAACCACCAGGACTTAAGATCTTCTGGGGAGGCCCTGCTCTCGATCCCGCCTGCGTCACAGCACGGCTGGCGGGGACGAGAGACAGGGCCTTCTCTGTGGTGGCCCCTCGGCTGTGGAACGCCCTTCCCATGGACATAAACAGGCACCTTCGTTGCTGACGTTTCGGAGAATGGTCAAGACCTGGCTTTACGAACAAGCGTTTGGCTAGGCAATGCAACTAATTAAGGAAGACGGTAATTGAAACATAGGAACGGCACAATGACTATGAGAATGGATCTGACTTCAACTGAGGCGTTATATATGTTGGTTGTTGATTTGTCCTGTCTGATTGTTAATTGTTGTGGAGCGACGTCGTCGACCCTGTTGTTGTACTGTTGTGTTTTAATTGCACTGTAAACCGCATTGAGTCGCCTGTCAAGGGCTGAAAAATGCGGTATAAAAATGAAGCAAATAAATAGGATTGAGCATATTACACTCATAAAAGTCACTCCACTGGCTGCCAGTCAGTTTCTGGGCAAAGTACAATGTGTTGGTTTTCACCTTTAAACCCTAAATGGTTTGCGTCCAGGTTTCCTATAGGATCTCCTCCAGTACAATCCACCCCAAACAGGTCATCCGGCGTAGCTACTCCAGCCAGCCCACCAGAACTCAACTAGTGACTGTTACCTAGTGAGTCTTTTCATCGACCACCCCAAGACTGTGGAGTAATCTGCCAGAAGAGCTCTAACAGCTAAATTAGCTGTCAGAATTGAAAACACAACTAAAAACCTACCACTTTCGAAAGGCCTACCCAGTTAGTTTTAACTATAAATTTTAAACTCATGTCTTTTGTTTACTATATTTCAGTCTTTGTTTTGTGTATTATAATATATGTATTTCATAGAAAATACATTTTATATGTGTTTTTATATAATGTTTGTGTGTTTTTAGCTATGTTGTGATCTCCCTCAAGCCACAAGGCGAGGTAGGTAAAAAATATTTTATTATTATTATTATTATTATTATTATTATTATTAGGACAGCATGGTTTCTACCTCTAATTGATGTAATTTATCATCATACAATGCCCAATCACTTGGAAAGATCACAAGCAGAATATGAGACAAGGAGCTCTCTCCCATTCTTCTCTCGAGCAGCTGACAAGGTTCCTCTGATTAGGAAGATGCATGTGGTCATCAGCCCTGCTGGTCTTATCCTCTAATCCTTTTCTATAGACCTTTGAGTTAACGGTCATTGCCACAAATGTAAATGGTCTCAGTTTAGAAAAGTTTACGTCAGCCATGGTCCCTACTGTATACTGGATTTTGGGATTTATTGTCCAAAAAGCAACTTTTCCACTTTTATCTTATCCCCATGCTTGCTTTTTTATCTTAAGCAAGAAAACAAGACATTAACACTGTAACATTTCCTCTGTAGGATTGGCTCATTATTTTGGTTGTACCTCTTCATACTGTTCCAGTTTCACCAGCCCCACTCCCTCCATTTCAAATGAATTTTGTATTACTTTAATACACTGCAGAGAGGAAGAGGACAAGACAGCTACACAGACAAACTCTGGCACTTAATCCTGGGAAAGAACACCAAAGTGGAAAGTCAGTGTCTGGAGCAACATAAGGACTGTCAGCTGCATAGAATATCACAGCAAATTCGTTGTCCCCCATGCAGTTCTTTCCTTTGTCCTTTCCTGTTTCTTCCCTTAAGGATCTAATCATGCCCACACATTTGCTGAGTAAAATCATGGTTGTCCCAGGGTACAGGTGATTAATCTGTAATCCCCATGGGTCTTCAGACTTACTCCTGAAGTAAAAGGTCTAGCTTGATATAGTTACATGTGCAGTGGAAAAGTGAAATTAGGAAAACCCACAACCAAACCAATCTGACTTTAAAATGTGATGTTATATTAATTGCCAGTAACTTGTGGTCCACTCCAAAACAGACATCCATAAGAGACAACAAAAGCAATCCTAGAATACCAAAAGATTATTCATGCAAAATTATATCTAGGGCTACATTCTAGTAGAAAACTGGCCCAGAGTAGCACAGATCCAGCACATATTGGCTGAATCTAGGGACAATGGCCAGATAGGCTGGTACCACATCAGCCCCATTGTTCATGTTGCCACCATCATTTCTCACTAGTCATCCCTTGTCATGTCTACTGATATCAGAACAAGATCCCTGCACAAGCAGCAAGAAGAGAGGGAGATCACACACACGCACCCTTTTTGCTGGTTACTGTATACTGATTTAAGCAGATATGAACATGATAGCCAGGCATTCACAGCGAGCTCCAAGCCTGGTAGAGAGCTGAAATACTGGTGACATAGAGACAAATCATCTCTCTCCTCTGTGTTGATCTGTGCAATGAAACCATGATGGTGGCAGAAGCTGTCTGGACAGGGGATCAGTCCAAAATGTACCTGATGCAGCTATCCAGTCTGCCACAAAGCCTTACAACTTCATCACATTGGGGTTGAAATGGGCCCCCTTTGCTTCTTTTGGACAGGGCCTGATGAGCGCCATCAGATGACACTAGCTTGGCCCCACTCCCATTCCTCCCAAAGTAGAGGAGAAGTGTCACAAGAGGAAGACTAGCCTATATCAAAGCCTGGAAATTCTCTTTTTGGTATTCTCTGAATCATGAAGGTTTCATGAAATTGTTACATAACATTTGCTTATTGGCAATGGATTTCTTGCTTATAGATTTTTGCCTTTTTATTCTAAGTTTTGTTTACTTTATCTACCATAGTATTAGGATATGGGCAATTTAAAATGTCCACAATTGAGAATGAATTAATCCTTGCACTACTATTACTAATTATAAATGGTTGTTAGAAAAGTGTGGTTTCATAGACTGTACTGAATTATTCCCATAATGTTTTAAATGCTTTTGAACTGCCTTGCGTTCTTGTTGTTTATTTTAGAATTGTCCATTTGTTTTTCAACTCTTTATTATGGCCATTGTGTTTTAACTGTACTTTTTTCAATCTATTTTCTACACAGCCTTGAGTCCCATTTTCTGCTCACTCTGTCGGTGTCTAATGATAGAGTTGTTCTGTCCTCCTGGGCATATTGACAGTATAGGGAGTAGAACTGGAAACCAGTCTATGGTTTCCATATTCCCATACTGTATATTCCTGATTGCTCTGGCTCAGACCAACCCAATCTTCTGCAGCAGATCTTGCAGGTTGCGGGGGATTCCAAAGGGAAAGGCATATAATTAAAAATCAGCTCCTATCCTTTCCATCCATCAGAGCCCTAATTGGATAATAAAGGAGGACAACCACCCAATGATGTCTTGGATAACTGACTGAAAAATCCACTCACCTGCTTGATGGCACACAGCAGCTTCCCATAGCAATAAACAATAATGATAAAGGGAATGACAAGGCAAAAGATGAAAAGGCAAATGATGTAAGATGTGTTGTTAGCATCCCTTGAATGCCAGTTCACAGAACATGTGGTGCCTGGTCCTTCAGGTCCATAGCTACTCCATCCAAAAAGTGGTGGTAGTGACCAAAATAAAGAATATATCCATGACAAGAAGATGCCCATCCATACTTTCTTGTAATTTGTGGCATCTGCTTCTGTTGTTCCCATCATTGTGCAGTATCGTTCATATGAAAGCACAGCCAGAGATATAAGTGAGACGGTACCTGTAAAGAAAAAGCAAATGATCTAATTTATTTTTGAAGAACCATTGTTTAGTAGTCAATGTATACACTTGGAAATACTAGATAGGAAAGTTTTTTAAATAAAATAAAATAAAATTTCAGATATCTGATGCTACTGTACAATTATTTTCTTGCTTTATTTATTTTTCACTGTTCCATATCTGCATATGTAATGTTATTGATGTGACCAAGACATAGGACTAGATAGCCTCCAGGTTTCTAGGCAAGAGTTGCTGTTGTGTGATCCTAAGACACTGGTTCTCAACGTTCCTAATGTCGCGACCCCTTAATACAGTTTCTCATGTTGTGGTGACTCCCAACCATAAAATTATTTTTGTTACTACTTCATAACTGTAATTTGGCTACAGATATTCCACAGATATATAAATCCCATTTTCCTAGTTTCCAACAGACCCCAAAATCCGTGAAGATGCCTGCCATAGATGCAGGCAAAATGTCAGGAGAGAATGCTTCTGGAACACGGCCACACAGCTCGGAAAACACACAACAACCCAGTAATTCTGGACATGAAAGCCTTCAGTAATACAATTTTGCTACTGTTATGAATCATAATGTAAATATCTGATATGCAGGATGTATTTTCATTCACTGGACCGAATTTGGAACAAATACCCAATACACCCCAATTTGATTACTAGTGGGGTTGGGGGGGATTGATTTTGTCATTTGGGAGTTGTTTTTGCTGGGATTTATAGTTAACCTACAATCATAGAGCATTCTGAACTCCACCAAGGATGGAACTGAATCAGTCTTGGAACACAGAACACCCATGACCAACAGAAAATACTGGAAGGATTTAGTGGGCATTGACCTTGAGTTTTGGAGTTGTAGTTCATCTATATCCAGAGAGACCTGGGGACTCAAACAATGATGGCTCTGGACCAAACTTCACACGAATACTCAATATGTCCAAATGTGAACACTGGTGGAATTTGGGGAAATAACCTTGACATTTTGGGGTTGTGGTTGCTGGGATTTATAGCTCACCTACAATCAAAGAGCCCCTTCAGCCTTCTCTGCCAAAGGGGTTCGTAAGACCATCAGAAATACGTGTTTTATGGTGGTCTTTGGTGGCCCCTCTGAAAACCCCCTCATGACCCCCCTCCAGGGGTCCCAACCCCCAGATTGAGAAACACTGCCCTAATACAAACCTATCATGGTGCTTTCTTGGCAAGATTTAATTGTAATAGCTAAGTGGAGATTTGAATCTGGTCTCCAGAGTCATTGTCCAATACTCAAATCATTATGCCAGCTCTCCTAGAGCAAGGAATAATTGCTAAAATATTCTAACCAATTAGCCAGATAAAGTCTGGCACATTTCTTTGTTAGGTAAATTGGAGATAATATGTTGCCATATTGCAAGCAATATGTTGCTAAACAGTTGGCTGATTGCTCTCATTCTCACTGACCAGCAAATATTTGAAAGGGAAATGCTGCTGCTCTCGCCTCTACACAGCTGTATAACATTCACATTATCTGCTTTGAATTGGATTATATGGCAGTTCAGACTAAGATAAGCCAGTTCAAATCAGATAATGTGAATTTTCTGCATTGCTAACCTGGATTATCTGGCAGTGTAGAAGGAGCCTCAGTATGAAATAAAGTGAGATGACTGGATATAAAGAGCAACAAACAAACTTGCAGTTTGAGGCAGAAAACAAAACAGACTGCTCAAATTAGGTCTCTGGAAACAGTTTAGGTTGCCTTCTAACACATCTCATTCTTCAGAGAGGAAGCGGAGAGAGTTTTCTTCTTCCCCAGTTCAATTTGCAATGAGCCAGCAAGCTCTCAGATGCAATATTGCCCTTTGTCATCATTATTACAACTTATAATTTACAGATACTGCCACTACTGGCTGCTAGTGGCTTCTAGAGCAGTAGTTCTCAATATTCCTAATGCCGCGACCCCTTAATACAGGTCCACATGTTGTGGTGACCCCCAACCATAAAATTATTTTTGTTGTTACTTCATAACTGTCATTTTGCTACTATTATGAATTGTTATGTAAATATCCGATATGCAGGATGTATTTTCATTCACTGGACCAAATTTGGCACAAATACCCAATATGCCCAAATTTGAATACTGGTGGGGTGGGGGGGGGGGGATTTTGTCATTTGG